CCCCCCAACCTGTTTCCTCTCTTCCCTCCAGACCAGCACGCCGGGCGCCCAGCTCCTCCCCGTGCGCTGGCCAGGGTCTGCGTCGACCTGGAGTGACGTCACCGTTGGTCCAGCATGAACTGGGAGGTGAGCACACTTTTACACAGGGGTGGCTCGGGGGTTTTCTTCCCCTTGATTTAGAAATTCGGAATGAGAAGAAGTCGACGCAAGCAGGAATCGTAGTTCATATTTGGCTTTAAGTTAAACATGCAGGTGTGCACGGGCTCACCAGGCACGTGGAGGGGGCCAGGCCCCCTTAGAGGGGCCCACGGCTGGCCTCGGATCGGCCCCTTGTCTTGCAAAGCCCACGCCTTTAGAGTGACCCACGGTTTCACATTCCGGTTTCCTTACGATGAATCGCGGTCACGGGAGCGTCTGCATATGAAGTCGCCCCAGATCTGCGTGCCCTTCTTCCCTATTCTTTACATTTCTGTTGCCAACAAGTGGGTTTTTCTTTTCCAACTGAAACTTGGGGCTGCCTGGGAGGCATCCACCTGGGTTGTCATGGACACCGTCTCTGTACAGAGTCACACTGTCGCGTTGCAGTCAGTCATCTCCCGTGACATCAGGTGCAGCTGACCCTCCTGGGGAGTGAACACCTGAGCCCCGGGAGGCACAGGTCGGTGCTGGGAGCACAGGTTCAAGGCAGCACAGAGGCGCCTGCTAGGGAGTGGCCGTGGGAGAAGGGTGTGTTGAGTGTCATGTGAAATCCTGAAGCAGGTGGGGTTAGCTGGGGGTTGGTCACAGGACAGCCGCTAAAATATATGTCCTTGTAGACCCTTGGAAAAGTAGGAAGTCAGATAGAGATCATGCATCGTCATCCCACCCAGAGAGCTGCTACGAACAATGGTGTCTTCTTTCATGTATGTAAATGTGATACGTGTATTTTAAACTTAGGTTCTTGTATTTTTTCAATTATAAGCATTTCCTTGTTCGAAACATCCCTGCGTTTCTATTGCGAGAAGATCTGGAAAGGTCTGGAAGCAGGATAGGGGAGTACAGACCCCTCCTTCCCAGCTCCTGGGTGTGGGGTTGGGGGGCTTCAGGAGGCCGTGGGGCCTGTCCAGGGGTCCACTGTCTCAGAAGCCTGGGACCCCAGATGAGGCGATCAGGACTCGGGGGGCAGGGCCTCCCCTGTGCCCACCAGGCCTGTTCGCCGCAGCTGTCTCACTCACCCTCTAAGGTCTGCACATGTGGAGGGATTTGTTAGAAATCGAAGGAAGGGGGTTCACCCAGCTGAAGCTGAGCGCCCCAGAGGCAGGCCGGGCCCTGACCCTTCGCTTCAGCCCTGTCACTGGTGTCCTTGACCCTGGCTGCCCTGCTCTGCCTTCTCGTTCCCGAAACTGCTGCCTCCTCTCTGGAACCTCTAAAGAGAGAGCAAGCAGGGACCCGCTCCCCCGGGTCTGTTTGTGGTGGTTCCGTCTCAGTGAGTTTCCTGGCTCTGCCCGCCGTCGGATCCGCATGCCGTAGCTGCTGCCGCGTAGCTGCGTGGCGGCTCTGGGGATCGTGGCTGGGACTGTGGCGGGGCCGTGGCCGGGGCCGGGACATGGGCAGGGATGCAGCAGGACTGCACGGCTCGTGCAGAGATTTCCAGAACTGGAGAGCGCAGCTTTCCCAGTATCTGTGAGGCTCAGCTGCCTAGAAATCCCAGGAACATATCGAGAGGCGTATTTATGGCAACAAACTGTTTTTTCCTCCCAGGAGGTGAAATAGGTGCCGTTTAATAGCTGGTTTAGAAGCGTGCGGCTGAGCCTCGTCTGTAAATGGACCTGCAGGATTGCAGCGGGAAGGGAGGGAGGTTAGCTGTGGTCTGAGGGAGGGAGGACCGGAAACCAGCAGTCGAAGCTGCTTGTGTTGGAGTAAAAGTTTCATTTTGTGAAGTGTTAGGACTTCGGTTCTCCTGCCAGAGCGACCTGTCCGCATGGCCGGTGTGCTTGCCCCTCCTGTGGGTGTGATTGGGGTCAGCTGCTGTCCAGTCACTCGGAGTTCATGTTCTCGCTGTTCATTTCACTGAGAACAATTGAAATATTCGGTTCCTCATTTTGATTTCCAGTATATTCCTCCCCCATTAGGTCACAGCTTCCTCAGACTCCGCAGACAGCCAGTGACCTCGCTTCAGAGGAAGTGGGCAGTGCAGGCGGGAGCGTCTCTGTTTGCAGCTTCGTGTGAATGGTGCGTTTGCAGCTTCGTGTGAATGGTGTGTTTGCAGCTTCGGGTGAATGGTGTGTTTGCAGCTTCGGGTGAATGGTGTGTTTGCAGCTTCGGGTGAATGGTGTGTTTGCAGCTTCGGGTGAATGGTGTGTTTGCAGCTTCGGGTGAATGGTGTGTTTGCAGCTTCGGGTGAATGGTGTGTTTGCAGCTTCGGGTGAATGGTGTGTTTGCAGCTTCGGGTGAATGGTGTGTTTGCAGCTTCGGGTGAATGGTGTGTTTGCAGCTTCGGGTGAATGGTGTGTTTGCAGCTTCGGGTGAATGGTGTGTTTGCAGCTTCGGGTGAATGGTGTGTTTGCAGCTTCGGGTGAATGGTGTGTTTGCAGCTTCGGGTGAATGGTGTGTTTGCAGCTTCGGGTGAATGGTGTGTTTGCAGCTTCGGGTGAATGGTGTGTTTGCAGCTTCGGGTGAATGGTGTGTTTGCAGCTTCGGGTGAATGGTGTGTTTGCAGCTTCGGGTGAATGGTGTGTTTGCAGCTTCGGGTGAATGGTGTGTTTGCAGCTTCGGGTGAATGGTGTGTTTGCAGCTTCGGGTGAATGGTGTGTTTGCAGCTTCGGGTGAATGGTGTGTTTGCAGCTTCGGGTGAATGGTGTGTTTGCAGCTTCGGGTGAATGGTGTGTTTGCAGCTTCGGGTGAATGGTGTGTTTGCAGCTTCGGGTGAATGGTGTGTTTGCAGCTTCGGGTGAATGGTGTGTTTGCAGCTTCGGGTGAATGGTGTGTTTGCAGCTTCGGGTGAATGGTGTGTTTGCAGCTTCGGGTGAATGGTGTGTTTGCAGCTTCGGGTGAATGGTGTGTTTGCAGCTTCGGGTGAATGGTGTGTTTGCAGCTTCGGGTGAATGGTGTGTTTGCAGCTTCGGGTGAATGGTGTGTTTGCAGCTTCGGGTGAATGGTGTGTTTGCAGCTTCGGGTGAATGGTGTGTTTGCAGCTTCGGGTGAATGGTGTGTTTGCAGCTTCGGGTGAATGGTGTGTTTGCAGCTTCGGGTGAATGGTGTGTTTGCAGCTTCGGGTGAATGGTGTGTTTGCAGCTTCGGGTGAATGGTGTGTTTGCAGCTTCGGGTGAATGGTGTGTTTGCAGCTTCGGGTGAATGGTGTGTTTGCAGCTTCGGGTGAATGGTGTGTTTGCAGCTTCGGGTGAATGGTGTGTTTGCAGCTTCGGGTGAATGGTGTGTTTGCAGCTTCGGGTGAATGGTGTGTTTGCAGCTTCGGGTGAATGGTGTGTTTGCAGCTTCGGGTGAATGGTGTGTTTGCAGCTTCGGGTGAATGGTGTGTTTGCAGCTTCGGGTGAATGGTGTGTTTGCAGCTTCGGGTGAATGGTGTGTTTGCAGCTTCGGGTGAATGGTGTGTTTGCAGCTTCGGGTGAATGGTGTGTTTGCAGCTTCGGGTGAATGGTGTGTTTGCAGCTTCGGGTGAATGGTGTGTTTGCAGCTTCGGGTGAATGGTGTGTTTGCAGCTTCGGGTGAATGGTGTGTTTGCAGCTTCGGGTGAATGGTGTGTTTGCAGCTTCGGGTGAATGGTGTGTTTGCAGCTTCGGGTGAATGGTGTGTTTGCAGCTTCGGGTGAATGGTGTGTTTGCAGCTTCGGGTGAATGGTGTGTTTGCAGCTTCGGGTGAATGGTGTGTTTGCAGCTTCGGGTGAATGGTGTGTTTGCAGCTTCGGGTGAATGGTGTGTTTGCAGCTTCGGGTGAATGGTGTGTTTGCAGCTTCGGGTGAATGGTGTGTTTGCAGCTTCGGGTGAATGGTGTGTTTGCAGCTTCGGGTGAATGGTGTGTTTGCAGCTTCGGGTGAATGGTGTGTTTGCAGCTTCGGGTGAATGGTGCGGTTGCAGCTTCGTGTGAATGGTGCGTTTGCAGCTTCGTGTGGATGGTGTGTTTGTAGGTCCGTGTGAACTGGCGTACAGGGTGTCCGTACTTCTGTATTTATTTTACCTTCTGCGCCAGTGCTCATGGATGGTGGGAACCAAGAGGAAATGGGGGGGACGGGAGCTGGGGATCTAGAGGGAGGGGCTGGCCCAGCTTCCTGGCCAGGCGGAGAGGCAGACGCTCGGAACAGCCGGGTGTCGCCC